AGTTCAGGTATGTCTCAGGATAAAATGCGCGCGACATGTATACTGACTCGCAGCACAGCGTTCAGAAGCAGGACAACCACATCATCCAGGCGATCGCAACGCTCGACCAGATCGACAAGGATCTCAACACCTTCTGCATGAGGCTGAGGGAGAACTATGGTATTTTCCTCCATGTCTGAAGACTTGGAACAGCTGCTAATCCGGTACTTCTTCAGGCTGGCACTTCCCCGAGCTCGCCAAGATTGTCAACAGCAACGAACAATATGCCAAGGTCGTCTTGCAGATTGGCGACAAGTCGCGCTTGAGCGATGAGGACCTCCACGAGCTCGCTGCTGTCGTCGATGACGACGAGAGTGTTGCGCAAGCAATCATCAACGCTGCGAGGACCTCCATGGGCCGCGATCTGTCTGCAGCTGACATGGAGATTGTTATGGCTTTTGCAAAGAGAACTGCTTCTCTAGCTGCCTACCGCAAGCAGCTCAGCAACTACCTTGGAAGCCGCATGAACCAGGTTGCTCCTAACCTGGCTGCCCTGATCGGTGACACCGTCGGTGCGCGTCTTATCTCCAAGGCTGGTTCTTTGACCAACCTTTCGAAATACCCTGCCAGTACCGTTCAGATTCTCGGTGCCGAGAAGGCTCTTTTCAGAGCTCTCAAGACCAAGGGAAACACCCCCAAGTACGGTCTGATCTACCACAGTTCGTTCATCGGCCGCACTGGTCAGAAGTCAAAGGGAAGGATCTCGCGTTTCCTTGCCAACAAGTGCTCTATTGCCTCCAGAATCGACAACTTCTCTGAAACCCCAACATCCAAGTTCGGTGAAGCTCTCAAGCGCCAGGTCGATGAGCGCATTGAATTTTACGCATCCGGTGCCCCTCCTGCTAAGAACGCGGCGGTCATGCAAGCTGCCATGAACTCGGTTCTGGCTGACATTGGCATTGAAGACCCCACCGCAACTGCTACCGAGGATGTTGAGATGGCTGATGGCGTCACGGCAGCTGCCACTGAGCAGGCTGTGCGCAAGGAGAAGAAGGACAAGAAGAAGTCCAAGAAGTCGGGTGACGACGAGGTTTCCGAGAAGAAGCCCAAGAAGGAGAAGAAGCGAAAGGCCGGGGACGAGGAGGATGGCGAAAAGAAGAAGAAGAAGAAGAGCAAGGCGTGATGATCTGCCCTTGCGCAGCTGTACTCATACCCTTCGCGCATTCTGTATCGGCGTTTTATGATGTGTCGGTGTTTCTGGAGTTGATTTCTGTACTAGTGGAGAGGATTGGATCTGGGCTATGAGTCTCCACACGCCGTTCACGAATGGTGGACGGCTCTGTATATCTCGAGCTGTCATGAAAGTTACAAAAGCATGATTCTACTATATTTTGAGCCTAACGTGATGCTGGCGGCGTTCGCGTATCTAGAGCCGACCAGGGTGAGGCGTTCCTGAGAGGCCGACCTATGAGGGACCCCTGCAAGAGATCGGCACATCAGCCACATGCAACCGAACTGCAGGACAGCCGTGTAGAACGACTATCTATAGAATACTACATTGCGAACGACGGCATAAGCTGCAAATGTTTGCGCATCACTGCCAGAGAGCAGAAGTCGTCCCCAGTAGACGCAGGTGCTCTTTGTGGCGATGCGCAGATACGCAGGGCAATCAACGTCAGGCAGCGGCTAATGCGCCTCTTTGTACGTCGCATGTTCACGGTGCAATGGAAGAGATGGACCACGATTTGTTTGCTTGTGACGAGGAGAAGAGAGGCAACTAGGCATCGCAGCAGCGTCGACGCAGGACGGTGCGGCAAAGGGGTTGTTGCTGCACGTACAGGCCGTGGCGGCGGCCATGGAAGTGTCAATATGTCATGTTTGATACGCCTCAGACCCGACACAGCAGCCGGCATAGACCCAGGGTTCATTCACAGTGGGCAGCCCCGGACTCGTCGCTGCTCTGGCGTAAACTGTTTTTCTGTTCTAGGGCTCGTCGTAACCCAAGCTTTGGCCCGCTGCTGTCCCAAATCGCTCGAATGCCTACTTGAAGCCCTGAACCCCCCGAGCACGGCGGAGGCCGTCTTTCGCACTTTCTCTTCCTCTATTGTTCTCTCTCTTTCCTGTACAATTTTCTGACGCTGCAACTACCTTTCCATCGATACAGCTCTTGCGGCGGCGGCTGCCATCAAACTCTCGTTAGGGATCGAAACTTGGTGTTCCTTGCCGTGCATCAGACGCTCTTTAGACATCTCCCGCGCCGGCTCTCGGCTGCACCTCGACTTTGGTGTTCTCGCAAGCCATTGCAGTAGTCTGCTATCCACGCTTTTTCTGGTGTTGAGTCTACACACGCGCTCCGCCAGCACCAGCGCCCTGAATCTGCCTGCGCGCCTCCGCTGCTCACATCGGGAAATTATCTCGACCCTTTCTGTTGTCGTCTGCACTAGAAGCGCCCCGGTGCCCTTCTGGGGATTGTATCGACCTAGTGTTCGGCGCCATGGCCGACGATGCATCTTCGCCGGGCAGTCTAAGCTCGCCCCCGCACTCGCCTGAGGGCACTCCGACAGCAACTGTCCGCGCAGCTGCAGGTGGTGTTGGTGTTGGAACTAGCACGCCAACCCCTGCAAATGCATCGCCAGCTCCACGCGGCCTTACTGCGAACGGCCAGCCACGCAAGAAGCCAGGTCCGAAACCAAAGGCCAAAGACCCAAGTGCACCAGAGCCAGAAAAGAAGACGAGAAAGCCCCGTAAGTCGGAGCCCAAAGACCCAAATGCCGCGCCTGCGCCACGGAAGAGGAGGACAAAGGCATCGCTCGAGGCACAGGCACAACCAGCCGCACAGGTCGTCGACGAGAAACCGCCTGTGCAGCTATCACCCATACCACAGACTGGGCCCAGTGAATCCGTCCCTGTTTTGCAAGCCGAGCAGCCGCCTGCAGTCGCGCAGCCAACCCGTGTGTTGAGCAATCCCGAGCCGACTCTTCACAGTAATCCAAATCTCTCCCATATCAGCGTTGCGCCATCCACACCACGGCCATCTAGTTCGGGCCAAAGATATGATCCTATCCGGGGCGACACCTTTGAGTCAAAACCGCAGCCTCCAGCAAGCGCGCCTCCGCCACCTGTTTCACCCCCGATCAACCACCGTGCGAGTGCGTCACCTTCCATCACAAGTCTCATTGACCCGCCGTCTGCCAGCAACTCCTTCTATTCACATCCTGCCAAGCTTCAGCAACAGGCATCTATCACATCCGCACCCGTGTCACCTGCCGCCTTCTCCACGCGACCAGCGTCGGTCCTTCCTTCTCAAGACTACTCACCTCAACTCCAACAACAGCAACCGCAAACATCTCTTCAGAACCAGCCTCAGCCGTATCACACTGCATCATCAGGCCCAACTCCCATGGACATTGACACCGAGCCCAGTAAGCCAGCATCCGTCCCAATGGCAAAAGAAAATTCCACAAACTCCGGTACCCTCTCACAATCCAACGCTCCCACTCCACCCGCCAAAACCGTCCGCCAGAAAGAGGCCCCACCACCGCTGCCTTCCGGTAGCGGCCTCTTGTCAGGAACGCCATTCGGTCCTGTTGCCAACGCCAACGGCAGTTCTGAGACCCAAGGCACTAACATCTACCTCACTTTCGACTTGAAGGGACGCGAAAACGTCACCATTAACTTCGCGCAAGAAGTCGAGAGGAAGTACGGCTTCGCTGCTCTACATCCTCGCATTGCCGCACGGAAAGAGCGCCAGCGTCAGATTACGGCAGCAGGTGCAGCACTGGAGCGGGCTGCAGGTGGGGGCTCAAACGACGACCAGTCTGTCGACTTATCGGAAAACGAAAGCAACGTCGAGATGGGCGGCATGGACGATGAGACATCGGCCAAGGAGAACGGAGGCAAGAAGCGACGCAAGCGCAAGCAAGAAGATTACGACAAGGAGGACGACTTCATCGATGATACTGAGCTGGCTTGGGAACAACAAGCGCTCATGGCGAAAGACGGCTTCTTCGTCTACAGTGGCCCACTCGTTACCGAGGAGAAGCCAACTGTGGAGAGGTACGTGACCACCAAAACTTCAGACCAGACTAACCTAACACTGAGTAGGGCCGATGGTACCGTTCGACGTGGACGAGGACGTGGACGTGGCGGCACCGTACGAGGCGACGCGTCAGGTCGTGGTAGAGGGCGTGGAGGCGGTCCAGGTTCTCGTGGTGGTTCTACTGTCCGCAAGCCCCGCGTTACTAAGGCTGATCGTGCACAAATGGAACAGGAGAAGGCAGCTCGAGAGTCTATGGCTAAAACCCTGACCAACATGTCTACTCACGCCGGCCAGGCTAGCGCCATGTAGCACACCGGCCTTCGCCAAACGGTCAATCCTGAGTACGGTCGGGTGTGTCACTTTGGCTATCATTCGCATCAGGAACCCCAGCATGGGCTTCCATTTCGGGTTCGACTTCCTGTATTGTTTAGTTATCTATAAGATACCGTTGGCTAGGGAGATGGCTCGGTCGACACCGCAATAGCCACCCAGCCAGCAGGTCATCAAGTCGGAGGGCGTTCGTGTAGGCATTACTTTAGCCGGCATTATTCTCACGACGGTTCATAGTCGTTTCCAAGACCATAGAGCTATTACTCAAAATCAGGATTACTTTCTATTGCTGTTTGTTAGGTTCTCTGTGGGATCGTTGTCAAGAGTGATTCGGGCATAAGACATGCGCGGACAGAAATCTAAAGCTCTAACCGCATCTTGGGCGCTGTACCTTCTCATTGATGGCTCGCTGCGTTTGTTTTACCTTCAGCGGTGAGTGCGGCTCCTGCCTTTTGTCCAGTCGCTCTTACCTCTCAAGGCAGTTCTACGTCACGCTCGCGTATACCATCTTGCACACCACGCTCCCAAAAATTCCTCCCTACTCGTTCACGGTTCCCATCAGCTCCGGTATTTCATCCTTATGACACAACTGTTACTCAGTCTATACACAGAAGGCATTCCGCTCAACACAACAGGTGATCAGTAAAGTATCATGGTCGGTCTGACAGCTTACTACACTCCTCTACCCGTCGACGTAGCCCTCAGCGAGCACTCACGCAAGTTCTACGATGGGACGTACAAATGGGATTTAGAAGGCTTCACCGATGACGCCGGAGGTAAGTGAGATGTACAACCTCGCGAATACTTCCACGACTGACCAATCCAGTCTATCGCGAATTCGACTGCTACGACCCTGATGCTCGTGCTCCCACACCCTTGCCACCGCTATGCTTGAGCGACGACGATCAAGAGGCCGGTGCAGTGGAGGAGAAGATCCACGATGGAGAATACGAAACCGAGAGAATGGAAGAGGACCCCGAAATCTTCTCGTTCGCATCAAATGTCAAGAGCGCGGGTGGCGTTATCACTTTACGACGTGATGAGCTATTTCGTGGTCATGCTGATAGAGAGCATCTCATTGGCAAAATGGAGAGTGCATTGATCGAAAGCAGGTATGTACCATACTAAAGCACGTCAAACATTCAATCCACGCAGCTAGTAGCCTACATGAGGGACAAAACTCCACTGTCGCGCCTTTTGACACCATCTTAGGCTCACAGCCAGCGCAGATAAGCTAACTTGAACAATAGATCAAAGAAGGTACACTTGACTCTGGAAGAGTGCTGCGGCGTGTGCGGTATACCCGAACACCTCAATCCCGTTGAAAAGTCGCCAACAAAACTGAAGATCAAATTCGTCACGCCTTTGAAAGTAACCAAACCGGGCCCGCGCATGTTCTTCTCACCTTCGGAGTTGTCGGACTGTCCTTCGGACATATCAGAGTGGGATGTCGGCAAACCCGTAAGTAGATACGAGGCTCTCTCTAGGCCGAGAATCTCTATCATTACATGTTACTGGAACCAGGACTAACATGACCTACAGGTATTGAAGGCGAGAACTTTTGCGAACCTAGTTATCGACGAAAAGCTCCAACAAGGCACCGATGAGGAATCACCACAGAAGCCTACAACACGCGGCGTCGCACAAAAGGTCAAGAGTAAGAAGTCGGCGGCCAGGTCAATCAAGGCGTCGCCTACGATTGAGTCACTACAAACTGGCAGCTATATAAGGGGCACTGGGGAGGCATCAAGGCGTCGGTCCACGAGACTTAGTAGCTCTCAAGGTGGCAAGTAGCTTGCTGTCTTGACTTGAGGCTTTCAGCGGTAAATTCGGGCTACGAGGAGGTTTTCAGTCTTCGTGATGTCTTCTGGGACGATTTCAGGCCCAGAAGAAAGGGAAAGCGTTCAAGCGCTATTGGGAAGCATCTTAATTGGCGTTGGAAAAAGAGCGAGCTCGATCAATGAAGTGCGAGATTGCGATATGATACCCCAATAACAACAGTCCCATCTATGTCCACCGAACCCGTCACCTCCCCAGAAAGATATCCCCGCACCTCTCCGTCTCAGCATGTTCATGATAAAGCGCACACCTCGCCCCCCTCCAAGGCTTACAAGCCTCCCACTTCTTCACCTTCTTCCCACTATTCTCTTCTCCATTCGTCCCCTCCTCTTCCACAACCTCAAATCTCCCGACTTCCCACCGCGCCATCGCAACACCTCCCCGAACACAAGCCGTACAAAACGCCACACAGCAATCGTCACAAGCCACCGCTCCGCACCTAGGCAGTAGTACAACTCCACAGTAGTCACATCCGCGAGTCGTGTGCCAGGACATGGGACACCACATGCGTAACCTATGCCGCTGCATAGCCTGCGTACATGGTCTTTTCAGATGCACAGTCAGATCGCGGAGGAACTCTGCATGCCACAGCCCCGCATGTAACTCCAGCAATCGATCTGTCTTTTTGAAAGCAAAGAGATCTAGCACGAGGGTACGGATAGGCGCCGACTCGCGGATGTCTTCGTATAGGATACGTGTATCGGAGGGTGTTAGCACGCTGTTGGTTTCATCGGCAAGGTCGCTTATTGTGTCTATGATGGCGTTTCTCGCGCCTTCGAGTCCTAGCCGGTCGGCTAGGGCGTAAACGTGTAGGAGGGTGTAGTATGCTGGTTTTCGGTCTTTGTATGGGATCGGTACTGTTTGCTCGTAGAGCCAGGTGACGAGGAGTTGAAAGTCGTCGACTGCGACATCGTCGAGTGTTATGCTGTTGTTGCTAGATTCTGCAAAGTGTCCTGTGAGCGCGGCACGGAAGTAGGAAGATTTTGATGTGAGGAGGCTGGTTTGGATGTGGAATGGTGTGAGTTGAGGGCCGACTAGGATTGTGCTGGTAGTGGTGAAGTCGGAAACGTTCGCTCTGGTTAGGTACGAACTTGAGTTGCCTCGTTGTGTAGGCCGACTGCCTCTGAATGTGTATGGCGGTGGGAGGTTTGGAAATGGAATGCGACTGGGGTCGTTACCAACACTGCGTGGGCTGGTATGGCGCGTCATGGCTTGTGAGTCAGTCGTGCAAGACCCTACTCCCTTGCAAGATTATCGATGGTGGTCCGTCAAACGCGCAAGCTAGTATCGATCGACACTCTGATTAAAGTTGGAGGAATGCGGCGGAGATTTGGTATGGACAGTGGTAGCCTCGAGCTTTGAAGAGGAGGATACAGTCATCACAGGCAGACTGTCATTCAGAGTCACGAAAGGTTGTTTCGAAATGTATCCTTGACTGCACCCACGGCAGTGACAACGAACAAATTTCTTTACGGAACTTCATTGAGTGAACAATCACCTTGTGTGCATGCGCGGATGACGAATGGTGGCTTTGTTGTTGGCCCAGCAAACGCCGCGCCGTAACCGGGTCTTTGTCTCGACACGGACCTTTGGAATGAGACAGGACGATCAAACGACACGATAAGCCATCGGACAGAGGGGATGACTCGGACAGTGATGAGTGGAAAAGCGCTATTTGCGTTTGTTTGGCATTCGATGATACCTAAGTCGTGGTTCTCGTAGATTAAGGACCGAGACAACCCATATGAGGTGCCTCGAGCTGCCTAGTACTCCGATCGTCCCTTTCGCGATCTGATGATTGCTTGCAAGATAGTGTTGCACGTGTCAGAGAACGATGTATGAGGGACAATCTCACCAACTATTTTACACTTCCGCTAACGCCCCGAGTAGCTCAACTATTGAGATGCGTTATATGTTTATACATGAGAGGCTTTTATTACTTCGTGAAAGCACCGGCAAAGCGTCGTGTTGTATTGTCTGAGTCGGGTTTCAGACGTTGGCGATGCTGTTCGATTCGGTTTGAGCTTAGGCAACGAAGTTCTTGATGTCTGGTGGTCTGTTAGCTCCTGACACTGGAACTGAGAAATGTAAGCGCAACTCACTGTTGAGCCACTGAATGTACTCCTTCTGCTCCTTGTGGTCAATGTAGTCGGGGATGAATAGGGCAAGACGGGTGTTGATGCCACGCTCCTCAAGGTACTTCTCAAGGAGAATCTGGAGGTCCTCGTCTAGGTTGTTGAAAGGAGGGCCCTGCTGAAAGTTAGACTCGTTACGATCTCAATGCAACATTTGCACATACAGTGTAGAGAGCACGTCTTGACCAGTCCTTCTCGGCAGTGGCAGGGTCAGCCAGATCGGCGGTAGGGAAGTAGTAGAGGTCCTCGATGAGGAAGTCGCCGTCCTGGGCGGTGGCCTCGATAGCGAGAGCACCCTTGCCGGGACGCTCGATGCGAATGCTAGCGTGAGCGGGGAAGCCCTGCTGTTGGCCATCGTCCTCGTAGTCGTCCTCAAGTTCCTCGCGATCAGCGGGAGCAACACGGTCCTCGGGAGCTACGCGAATGTTTCCGTCTTGTGTGGTGCCTTGGTTGATGGCACCCTTGGTGTTGGCGCCGCCAGACTGCACATCCATGTCGGCATCGTCGTACATGGCATTGTCCTCAGTAAGCTCATCGCTGGGCTGGTTGTTGTTGAGGTCGGCGGTGGTGAAGGTGATTCGGATCTTCTCGTCGTTGTATGTGCGGGTAAGGACGACTTCCTGGTTGCCTGCCTTGTCCTCAATCTAATGGCTGTAAGCATTCGGCCAGTAGCAATGGTGTTGTAGGGTCGCACCTCGAAAGGGCTATTCTCAAGGTACTCCTTGATGTTGGCGGAGAGATCCTCGTCCTCCTTCATGCCCTCCTCCATGGAGATCTCGCTCTGGATCTTTGCGACGAGCTCTTCATTGACTAGATCGCGTTAGCAGTGTTCTCTCACTGCAATGTATCCTATACGTACTACCGCTGTCTTGCCTCCGCGCCGCTGACATGTGGAAAGAAGCTGTGAGGCGGGGGATTGGGGCAGCCCATGCTGGCTGGAAAGCTGACGTCTGTCGCAGCGACGACTGCGGGCGGACAGCTTTGGTGGAGAAACGAGCAGCAGACCGCGGGGCGCTGCGGGCGAGGTTGCGTAGGGACATCATGGTGGACTAAAGAGGTGTGAGTCTTGACAGTACCGTGTGACTGGAATGCAACTTCAAGATGGCGATGCGATAGATGGCTCTCGAAAGCGTAACTTTTCGATGGCCCAAGCGCAGGCGGGCTGATGTCAAGCGGGATGCTTGGCGCCGAAATGCGGGCCCGTTGCTCACCTCCGTCCTCGGCCGTCTTGATGGATTCAGTATTTTGTGAACCTGGGGAAATCTAGTACACATTGGCGCGTCGAGTTCCCTCCAGCTGTGGTTCCTGTTGTTTTTCAAAGGATCTAGATTGGTTTCGAGTGCAAGACCAATACTACGTCACTGCCCCGAATTCCCATTACCGCACGCGACGTAGACACGCCAAAACTTTCCCGCGTAATTGCTGCGCGTACAAACCTACTCCTATCACCACCGGAGGCTGCTCGACTTAAAACGTCATGGCGACTGCAACTACCGAGAAGAAGAAGCCAAGCGCAATGCGCTCAATCCTGGCAGGCGCAACTGCAGGTGCCGTAGAGATTTGTAAAGCATGCGCCCGGATCGTAATCTGATTCATGACTGACCCTGGACCAGCAATCACATACCCCGCTGAGTGTACGCATCGCATCGTATCCGCTTACATGACCAAGTCGAACCTGACCCAAACATAGTCGCAAAGACACGATCCCAACTCAACCGGAGATTACCTGACGGAAAGAAGCTGCCATGGCCGCCGTTCGGCAAGCAGTGGTACGCCGGATGCACAACCTTGATCATCGGCAACTCTCTGAAGGCGGGCATAAGTACGTCATGGAAATAATGGGAAGGCGACTGTCTGACGTTTCACGCAGGGTTTGTCGCATTCGACATGTACAGGAACATGCTGGCAGACGCTGAGGGCAAAGTCTCTGGTCCAGCGACAGTCATAGCCGGTTTCGGTGCAGGAGCTACAGAATCGCTATTAGCTGTGACTCCGTTTGAGAGTATCAAAACCCAACTGTAAGCAGCCTCGGTCGCATTCATGTACCTTCACTGACTCATCCGCCTAGTATTGACGACCGCAAGGCGGCAAACCCACGCATGCGAGGCTTTCTGCACGGATCAAGAATAATCGCACAAGAAAAAGGCATTCGCGGCTTCTTCCAAGGCTTCCTCCCAACGACTGCACGTCAAGCAGCCAACTCGGCCGTTCGCTTCTCCAGTTACACCTCGCTCAAGCAGCTAGCGCAGTCGTACGTCACCCCAGGAGAGAAGCTCGGTGCCTTCAGCACATTCGGACTCGGAGGACTCGCAGGCATAATAACAGTCTACACTACGATGCCTATCGACACAGTCAAGACACGCATGCAGTCGATAGAAGCACGCAGCTCTTACAAGAACAGCTTCGACTGTGTAGCCAAGATCTTCAGGGACGAGGGGCTCTTCACCTTTTGGTCAGGAGCACTTCCAAGGTTGGGTCGGCTGATACTCAGTGGTGGCATCGTCTTCACCATGTACGAAAAGTCCATGGAGCTCATGGACAAGTTTGATCCCCAGGGACGTTACATATAAATTTCGCGCATATATCTAGAGCCAGTAGCGAGTGCATTATCCCTTCGCCTGGTGTTCTACCCCCATTCGCGACTGTGTTACACTATTGGTCTGGATCTCATTGGCTTGTCTGCATTCCTCGCTTCCCCTCCTCCAGATTGCCCAAGCGCCACCACTTCAGGACATTTAATGCATTCAAATGACACGATAGGTTCTAACACCACATGAGTTGGCCTTCCCTGGTAAGAACGCGTCAGAGGATCTTTTCCATAATGGGCTTCTGTCACTTGCATATCGACCGCCATGATCCAATGGAAAGTGGACCAAGGCTGAATCGATAAACATGGGACTTCCGCGTCAGTAGTTATTGGGTTTCGTGGCACCTTGTTTCGTTGAGATATGCAGGAACTTCACCGGTTTCTGCAGAGGCTAGCACCGCTTACACGACGGTATATCTTGTCGAACCACATTACAGAAGGGACACTCAGGCAATACTAGGTGCAGCCTGCCGATCGGAAAGCATGATCTGCTGCCTTCTTTATAAGTCTTTCATGGCCCGCACCTACTCGTCTCTTCTTCTTCGGTATCGCCGTGTCCAGAATCATCAAACAATCACTCTCTGTCTGATACAAATGTACAGCATTCCTTGAATATCATAACAACCACATACAGTACAGTACCAACAAATCACAATCATGCCTCCAGTCGTATTCATATCAACTCCGGAAGAGCTCTCTGCCGTGCTAGCAACGCTCAACGATCTACCAGTATCTCCTCCAAGTCTGTACATTGATCTGGAAGGCGCGAAGCTCAGCAGAAATGGTTCAATCGCTCTACTGACCATGTATGTACTACCTAAGGAGACTGTGTATCTCATCGACATCCATACTCTAGGCGCTCGCGCATTCTCAACACCTGCCATCGCAGCAACAGCAAGCGTGACTGCGCCTCTTGATACTACGCCCAGCACAACAAACCTCACTGAAGACGCCGGAAAGCCTTCCACAACCCTGAAGTCTATCTTGGAATCACCAGCAATTCCCAAAGTCTTCTTCGATGTACGCAACGACTCCGACGCGCTATTCTCCCACTACGCCATCTCCCTCTCCTGCATCCACGACATCCAACTCATGGAGCTAGCAACCACTACACGCGGTTCCCGTGAACACCTCCTGGGCTTGGGCAAAGCCATCGACTACAATGCCTCACGCCTCAACATAACGCCGATGCAGAGGCAAGTCTGCAGCGCCATCAAAGAGGCTGGTGTCAGGCTCTTCGCTCCGGAACGAGGTGGCAGGTATGCGGTCTTTGAAGAGAGGCCGCTGAGCCAAGCAATCAAGGATTACTGTGTGCAAGATGTGGTGCATATGCCTGGGCTATGGAGGCTGTATGGTAGTAGGATGGCAGAAGGGGGCTTTTGGTGGACCATGGCTTTGGAGGGTGCAGCAAGTAGGGTGGATGAGAGTCATCAGGCGGGATATCAGCCACATGGGGACCACAAGAGGTACGGGCCCTGGACTGATGATCAGATCAAAGAGGCGATGCGGCGCTGGAATGCTGGGCAGCGGAGCAATCTGTGTGGATAAGTGAGAGGCTTGAGACTGAGTGACGGTGGAAGGTTGGGGACTTGGTCAAACGATGGTTTGTAGATGCATCGTACTTGTTTGGCCGTAGATGAATGAGCAAACGAGAGCAAAGACAAGAGCTCTATCATGGATTTCTTCTGTTTTCGAGGTGACTTACGATACACACGTTGGTACCGCGATAATGTCCATCTCCGACATTCACCTCCACTTTGGTCACTCGCCTTTGCCAACGCTCACCACTACGACTTCGACTTCGACTTCGACTTCAACACCAAACCAACAGAGACAACCTCAAACTCCTCTACTCAATCCAACACACATTTCAACAGACAAGGCAATGTCCACACACGCCGCACAACTGCTCGAGCAGCAACTGTTTACTGCCATCAAGACACAAATCATCAGTCTAGCAACGCCTCTTTATGGCACAAGATCAGAAGACGCATCAAAAGTCTATGATGTAGTCACCTACAGCATGACCACCAACAGTGATGGCAGTAGCAACGATAGCAGAAGCACCTTCAACACTGCCAGCACCAGCAGCAACAACGATGATGAAGAGGAAATAATGTCAACCTACGGTGTGGCATTGATTCTCTACACAGGCGCTTCAAATTCGCCATTCACATCATGGACACTGATCAGCCATGTGGAGGATCAGCCTGACATCATCACTGGGGCGAATTGTCTGTTGGAAGACTTGAGGAAGGGGATGGGTGGAGTTATCAGTAAGTTCATGTCACTTCTTTCCTTTCTGCTATTTTGTCTTCGCGTCTCGATTTTGGATTTCTATAGTTAGGGCAAGGTCATCGAAGGTATGGTTGACTGATGGCATGGTCGGGAATAGGTGTCTGCATGCAAACGGGTAATTGGGGGATGAAACATGGGAGGATTCCCAACGTTGCGGGTGTAAGCGAAGGAGGGCAGGAGGGTGAAGAGGAAGTCGAGGATGAGCATGGGGGTGACGGAGGGGACAATATGGACGTCAGGCGTGGCGCTGAAGGTGGCGGCGGTAGAATGGACGATGCCAGCGAAGACCCGAAGCAGACTGGCTGGAGTCCAAGGTTGTCGAAAATCATCGAAGAGGTGTAGACATTCAAGGCGTCAACGCACTCGAGGGTTGAGTTGAGGAGGGTTAGGGACTACAGTATGTTTGGAGGCGTTTTGTACATTAGCATAAGGCAGCGTGATAGTCTTCGTGTACTGTCCATCAAGCGAATCAAACCAGAATCCTCCCATGTAGTCATCATATGCCTTTTCACGTCTTAGTACACACACCTGTGTCTCTACGTAGGTATCAAAGGAATTTATATTTCCTTACGATCCGTGAGCATCATGTCATGGAGTTGTTCATTCACACGCAGGTCACTTCAATTGGAGCAAAGCGAGAACTGTATTGAGAACACGAAAAGGACGCGAATATCACATTGGAACACTACCTAAAGATACGTAAAGATCAAATCGTGTACGGTTTCATCTGCCAGTGCCAATCGGACTCATCAGACTGTTACCACTCCCACTAGTAGGACTCCGCACCATCATCGGCTTAATACTCTGGACTGGGCTCAATGGATCTCGTTGGCTCGAACTCTGACTGGAGGTTCCCGAGCTGAGGCTGCCACTACCGTGACTGCGATTGCGGCCATTGATCGGACCTGGAGTACTGAAGGGGTTACCGAGGACATAAGTGCCTGAAGACGCGGGCTCGTCGAAAGCGTCGGTGAATCCGGATACGTTAGAGAGCATCGACGAGGAACGACCGCGACCTCCACGCATGGAACCAGGAGTGCCGTTCATGTGCGAGTGCATTGACGGGAACGTGAAGCTGGAGAATCCATTGCCGTGAGGAGACATGTTCGTGCCTGGGAGATTGCCTTCTGGTGTGGTAGGAACAGACATGTGCTGGTGCGCTTGCTGGAGGATGAGCTCTTCATACTGCTGAACAGTCTGCAGAATTTGGCTGGTTGACATGTTCTGCTCCTCAGTGCGCCTTTCGTAGCCATTGATGTTGCTACGATACTGATGCTCGACTTCAGCGCGCTGTGCTCGTAATGCTGCGCGTTCTTGCTCCCTTCGTTGCTTGGCGGTGAAACCTTCAGCATTGGCGGTAACGAGACGGTCGTGCTGCTCGTTGAGCCTGGTTTGACGCTGCTGAAGGCGCTCCCTCTTCTGGAAGGCAGTAGAAATATCGGACTCCACACTTTGCACTTGTCGCTCGATCTCCTCCTTGGTCTTGTCGAATTCACAAGCAACAGCATTCTTGTTGTCACGCTCCTTCTTCCACTCTGCCTTCTTGGCTGCAGCCTCCTTCGCCTCATCTTCGGGAATGCTTCCCAGATTTTCTGCTTGGAGGGCAAACTCGGCGGCAGCATCGTCGGCTTGGCGGATGTTCTGCGTGAATTGAAGGACGCGCTGGCGTTGGCGCTCATCACTACCTCCGGCGTTGGCAAGGCGGTTGCCGAGCGTGTCCACCTCTTTCTTGATGTTGGTAATGGCTGTCTTGTGGTCTTTCTTGTTTCGCTTCAACCGATTGCGCTGTTCCTGCAGTTGCTGGTCGGCTGCGGCAATGGAGTTCTTCAATGTGGTTGTTGGCGAAGAAGGTCGTAGGGTCTGATGGGCTGGCGGGGAGGCAATAGAAGCCGAAGCTGTCACGCATTAGCAAGGTAAGGCTACACAAGATGTTCTACTTACCAAGTTCGGTTACCGGGCTGGCCGAGGTAATAAGACTCGCTGAGTAGAAGACTTGGTTGTCGTTGGTCCGAACAAACTCGCAATAATAGTTCGAGAGAGCTGTCAGGCCAAATATTTCTCCTACCCAGTAGCCCGTTCCCTCTTGTCCCTGGAATCCGATCGGCTCGCTCTGTCGGATGCGGGTTGAGCTCCAGTCCGCGCCATTGACGCGGATGTAGAAGGGCTTCGACTTGTCTATCCCAGACCCAACGCTGGAGTCTTCATCGTCCTGCTCTTGAAGGCCAGCTCCACCAGATAAACTAACACGAAATGAAATGTCGGAAAAGCCGACTTCTGAAATCCAAACACGATCGTCCTCCGATCTCCAAACAGCGTTTCCAATGTGATTTGCGTCTTTTGCGTTAGCCTCGTCGGCATCGTTGGCCGCCCGGCTACTCTCCATCTCTTTTAAAACTGTAACTTTTGTACTGGCAAGTGCAGCCCAGAATGGCTGCTGACTACGAACATGAGTAGCTTGCTTCCTCTTCCTCCTCCCACTACTCGCTTTATCCTTGATTGCGTGTGCTGCAGGCGACGGCCCCGGGGGGCGGCCATCGGTGCTCGAGGAGTTGGGCACGTCGGCAGTGGGATCGAGGTTCGTGGAGTTGGAGCGTTGCAGCGTGCCAGACTCTGGATCTGTCTTCTTGCCGGTGGGTAAGGTTGATTGTTCTCGTCGAGAGAGAGAGCGTCGGATGATACGAACGACACCTTGGGCCAAAATATGAATACCCAGGAGGCTACGGGGCCATCCATGGGGGGTCGAGAAGCTTTCCAAATAAGTCGGCGTACTCGGGGGGCTCGTCAAGAATTCAAGGCCTCCCCGGGCGAGCCCCGTCCACAGGAAGTGGACGATGTGTTGCCGGAGAGGCCTGAATCTGAAGACGTGGCTCGAAAGAATGATGACGAAGCATATGACAATGCTGTTGGTGGTGCCCTTCTTGCCGGCTGCGGCACCGCCGAGCGCTATGGCTATGACGGCCTGTGCGAGGTCGAGGAAGAAGTTCTGGGCAGGCACCCACAGCAGCAGCCATACGAGCAGGATGACGGTGTCGGCGATGATTGTGGTGAAGAGCGAGGGCGTGCCGCCGGAGCCCTGGAAGATGTCGGTGAAGGAGGGGAAGGCGGAGAGGGCGGAGAGGGGCGTGCCGGCCTGGGGCGGGACAAAAGTAAGCGTTGCGAACAGGAACTGGACGACGGTGAGGACGGTGGGGGGCAGCTGGAGCAGGATGATGAGGATGGCGAGGACGTCCCGCAGCGGACAGGACGTGAGAATGGTGGCAGGCACCGCGAGCATGCTGGCCATGGAGATAGACGCCGACTTGGAGGCATTGGTGTCGGCGCGGCGGAGAGTCGAGGGCATGGGATCAAAGGGCCCGCCGGCGCTGCCATTGTCGTACGAGCGGCAGGCCTCGGGGGTGTTGTCGAGCGAGGCATCCGAGCCAGCGCGCGTGCGGTGCCCTGATCCCGCCGACGCAGCAGCGGCCATGGTGTTGGCGTGGGCGCTCGACCCCGGAGCTGGATCGTGGGCGCTGGCGTGCTGCGTCATCTCGGTCGTGTCTACATGGCTGGGCAGCGGCGGCGACGGCTCGCTGGGCTTCCCGTTGGCGTGGCCATTGAGCTGCGGGATGCTCTTCTGCTTTGTGATTTTCTTGCCGGGGGCCGCAAGGCCATTCTCGTGTCGCTTGTCGTGCGCCGCGTTCCTCTTCGACTTCGCTACCATAGACGGCGGTGCGGGTGCGAGCGGGCAAACCTCTCCCTGGCGCGACTCGACTGCTGCACAGGACGAGCCAGGACTGGAAGATGTTGAGCCGCTGCTCGGTGGGGGGGTCTGGGGGGGTGTCGTGTGCTGGGCAAGACGTGTAGGGAGCGAGGAAGGTGCCCTGCGCCTGCTCAGTCGTGCCTTCCGCCGGATGGGCTCGTGCCAAGACTTGCAAGTGCTAAACGTCAAATGCAAAGTCAACCAAGAAAACCCGACCGCCCAAGCCTCTGCGCGAGTGGGCCACGCTGTGACCAGAGCACTGACAAGCCACGATGCACCTGACGGCTGATTTGCCTGTCGACTCCGAGGTTCCACGTCTCCAGCGCTGCCGACCCGTGGTTCACCACGACCGCCCTGCACATGCAACCACGACGCCCTCGACACGCTGCCTATCCGCGGCAAAATTCCATGTGTCCGGCTTGTACCGCCCTCATCACAACCACGCGGGCAGCATATCTTGATGCTGCTGCCACGCAGATCAGCCGAGCTGTGTCCGATTCCAGTTCATGATGCCGATCTTGACCACGACAACAGGGCCGTCATTTCACTCTACCGGGGAAGCCAAGTATCGCCTGTCCCTCTCCGGCAGTGATCTTGCCTGTCTGGCACCTCGTCTCGCCCTCCTCTACATAGTCCCTCCGTCTGCTGCCTCTGCCATATCGCACAGCTGCATCGCCAGACAAACACGTCTTCCAAGGCAGCCAATTAGCCTGCGCCGGCTTCTTTAGCTTACCTGCTCATTTGCGTGCACCAGGACCCCCCTGAGCCATAGCAAGCTCCAGGGCGAATGAACCCGCGCTTTGTCTGTTCACCGCATGCCTGAAGTCTCTGCAGCGGGCAAACCCCGCCGACGCTATTACTCACGCCGCCGTCACCCATTGTCTGCTTCCTAGGTACGCGGATAGAGCGTGCCTGCCCCTTCGATGCATGAATCTTTACAGCGGCTGCGCAGCAATGCTCATGCGACGTGTTACGCCACACCTTACTGAGCATTGCTATACCGGGTCAAGCGGTGCACTGTCAGCATCCCAAATTGTTCGGAGCATTTTTCTCTATCTGTGTTCCCTCGAGGCGAGCATAGCGCGCAAGCCTTCCGCCTGCACATCCATGACCCTCTTCCGCCCTCTGCAGTGTGCCGGCGTGAAGCTTAACCCAACCACGCCAATAGCAGCCCGTTCGACTTGCAAATAAGGCAAGCCGGAACATCACGCGCGCAACGGGCGTGCAGATCGCTGCAATAGGCATCAGAACATCCCACTTCATGTACATCATTGTGATGAGAATCACGCCATGCAGTGGGTTCATGCGGCAGTTTGCCATTTCCCCATCGTTTGCATCTATACGTCTGGTTTTACTGCCATGCGCCGACCTCGGACACGCGATCAACCCCGCGTGTTGTCTGTCGATACCGCTGCAGGGGTATATGATGACGGATATGACGATACCTATGTAACACCGCTAGTAAATCCTACTCTACCGCCGCTACAGACGTGACTATTTGCTAGTCTTGTTCAAAGACGTCGCACTAGCGAAGCCTTCACGGAGCAGGAGGAACGAGAAATCAAGGCACGGTTTGCGAATGCGAACCGCAGATACCCAGGGT